TCAAAATAATATTTCTATATTGTTCTCATTTAGTTAAATATGTTATTGCAAAATTTGTAAATATTTGTATTATCCAGCCAACAGAGGGAGCTAACGGCTCCAGTGTTTCAGCTCCAGAATTCAGTGACTCCTCCCCCTCCCTCCCTTTTTTCAAGAAGGTTCTTTACAAGGTGTCAATCAGACAAGTGGAGCCATGAAGCAGCAGCATCTCCTGTGCCCTCTCTCCCCATAGTGACTGTATACATATAGATAAGAAAAATTTTAAAGATATAAAAGACCAGTTTAAAACTTTTTAAAAACTATTTCAGAAGAAGATATTAAGGTAAAACTAAAGGCAACACTTTTTTTTTTGTTTGAGTGGAGAGGGACTAGAACCCCTAGTCCCTAGTTTGAGACTGGGATCTGCTTTTAACCTGTCATAAAAAAAAAAACATGTGCTGTCATGGATGACCTCCTTCTTAAAATCCTAGGTGCTGGCTGTCATGATGATACTGTGACCTTAGATTTTTCTTGACTTGAAATTAGCATGCAGCCAGTGAAGTCATGCTTTGCATACTTTTTGGGGGTTAGCAAGGTTTTTTTACTCAGAGAATAGGTGCAGGAACTCGCTCCTTCACCCCTTGCAGAGGGAGCCATACAGGGGATCGGTTCCAGTAATTGCCCCCCCCCATCACCCTCACTCTGTGCACTATACATTTCCCTCTGCTGCCTGGGCCCCCCTGTATGCCCCCACCCCTGCAGTGCTGCTGGCTTCCCTCCTCTCCACAGCTGCAGTCACGCAATAGGATCCTTTAGGATGGAGAGTGGGGGAAAGGTCTGGTAAATATATCACATTTACCAGCCCCTTCTTTTCCTGAGTGAACACAATGATTGATTGGCACCAATCACTCACTGTGTTCATTCATAACTGAATGTCAAGGTCCTACCTTTTCCCTGAGGTTATGTTACTCCATGTGCTGGCGTCCATCTTGGATTTCTGCTGAGCATGGGGGGAATCCTTTATGCCTTCAGGTCTCTGAGGTCCATACCCCAGAGGGGTGTGGGCTGATGACATATAAGCCTGTGGTCCGCACATGCTCTTTGCACTTGTGTCTTTGTGTGTTGCTATTACTCTGTTCTGACTCTCGTGACTCTCCTGGTATCTGATTCGGCTTGTGACTCGACTATTCTTGTATCTCCTTTGATCTGACCCTCTGTTGCTGAACCCGGCTCGTGACCTGTGATTCTCGTCTGCTGTCCCTGTACTGGTTTTGGTCCTGTTGTTGTTGACCTACCGGCCTGTCCTGACTACTACTACTTCCACCAGCTACACACCATTGGCGGCGGCCATTACCGCAGCTGAGGTGTCTCGGGGGGCCGCGACCTGGTTCCTGGCTGCGTCAAGTCCATCCCCAACATCAGGGGCCCTGGTGAAGGGCAGCCTGGGACTTAGACTCCGCGCCCTGAGGGACTTCGGTCTGTGGGTGGTGGTTGTCGTCAGCCAGTGCGTTACATTGTTAGTCCTGCCTGTCCATTCCTCTGCTCCTGCCCTGACACTGAAACCTAGTAAACTGTTTTTTTTCCCAAGGGGACCTGTCAGGTTGGCTGTATGGTTTCTAACAGCAGCCCTGCCGCCCTGCCAGCTAGAATAAACCCCCCCAGCAACAAAGGACCACCAAAAACAAAATATCCCCCCCAACAACAATTGACCACTTGCAGAAACAACAGTTCTCCCTGCAGCCAGCATCATCATAGACCCTCTTGCACCCCTTTGTATTACATACATTCAGTGGTCCTGCTGAAAAAAAAAAGCCCTGAGGGTTAGTATTTTCTGAAAGAGGTCAGCATTAGCCACCGGATATATTTCTTTGACACAGATTTCCTTTAAAAAGCTAGAAGGTGAATTTCAAACCCTTAACTCTGACCAAAACCATCTTTGTTTTGAATGGTGTGGGGCAACGTTTAGAGCTTTTTGGGGTTTTTATTGCCATCTGTGTCCTGTTGGCGAGATTTCTCTACATCGAGATTCAGGACTATATTTTTGTAGAGTGAAGAAGAACTTCTGGCTGGGTTTTTATGGTTGTCTGTGCCTTCCTGTCTCAGTGACAACTTCTCACCATTTATTGGAAGGGACAGGAAGTCTCCCCAAAGGGGTCACAGGCAAAACAATGAATCCTGGCAGCAAGTGACTCTTCTTCACTATGACCAAAATTAAAAAAAAAATGACTGGAGTTTGGCTATAAAAAATTTGCCATAATGTTCCTAAAAGAATAGATTGGTGGGACCAACTGGTGATGCATAGCAAAAATTGGCCAGATCCAATGGAAATCCTAATTTTGGAGAACCAGTCCAATGATCCCTACTCATCATCACAATGTTACTGAAGTACACAAAATTTCTTAAAAAACCAATTAGTCTTCTCCTGGCTTGTGTCGTCCTTCATTAATTTTTCTGTTTCGCATTTGAGCTCTGCCTCGTGGATGTAGTTGAGCAGAAATTTCTTCCTCTCTTTCTGGTCTCTTTTCGGGTCTCTTGGTAGACCCAGGCAGAATGTGACATTTTCCAGAGCCTTTTGTATGATCCTCAGGATGTTGGTGGTTCTTCCCAGAGTTTTCACATTGCTGTCCTCTGTGTAATTCTCAATGATGATCATTGTCTCCGCTCCCATTAGTTTGAATGTTTTCTCTACCTCCATGAAGTCTCCACAGGTTTTACTGGTGATAACAACAATGGGGACAACACCTGGAAAATACATTTCAAATTGAAATTGAGTCCCACACTGCAAACCAGAACAATGTTCATCCCATCAAATGATTTCACAGGCTAGCCAAGGAAATCATCAATTTATATTTTATTGGATATATCCTGCAAGTACCTTTTGAAAGCTTCAAATTTTCCTTCTGTGATCTTTGGAAGATCAGCAATCAAGTTATCAACTTCCCCCTAAGTTTTCTTCCCCTCCCACAGACAGACCATAGGTACAATGACTGCCTATAAGCAGGTGCTTACAAGGGGTGCTGCTATTAGACAGGAATTCTAGGCTGCCTAGGCAGGAAGGGGTTAACTCAGGATCTACAGTTTTCCCAGGTTTTTATGGGCTCTGCCCTTCACCCTGTGCTGTTGATAAAAGGTGGGAAGGCTCTGCTCAGAGGGAGTCCGCCATGGCTGCATGGGAAAAAGGATCAAGAGGCTTGCAGTGCCAGATGTAACAAAGAGCAACCTGCAAGCACCCTCCAATGGATTCAACCAGTCTAGGACTTTTCCAAACCATGGACTATTACCTAGAAGGGTATACCTGGGCAGCCTGAGACTAGTTAGTTAGGGTGAGGCTGTGGTTATACTTTGGACTGTAATGTTTAAGAGCGTCTTAGTAAAAGTTAAGTTAAACTTCAAATGGCTGGTCTGTAGTCACTACAAAGGGGTGCATGGTGGGTACAAAGAACAAGGCCTGCAACACACAGACGGGGGGAAGAGGAAGACATGTGGTTGCTAAGGGCAGCCAGTGCAAAGGAATTACATGACAGCCAGACAGCAGGAGTACAGTACTGGCAGGGGTGATAGGAGCGCATTGCTGTTTCCCCTAATTGTCGGTGTCCCAATTAACCAGGACCAAATTCACGTGGTGTAGACCTCAGGGACCTAGCCGCAGATACAGGAGGAGTAAAAATCGTGCACTCAGAAAGGTTCACGTGGGTACAGGGCAGAACCCACAAGTTATCACTCGGAATCAGGTGATAGGAAGGCTGGATATGGTGGAACGGGGCATATGCTCCGTAGTGTCTCCTTCAAAATGTTGCATACAGTCCATACAGTTGTATGTATCATGGGACAGTGTGGATCACGCAGTAAAGCCTACATTAGGACACTGCTGCATCAGAGTGCCGCCTTAACGTTGAGTCACCATGAACCGGCTCTGCCTTGTCCTGGGCATTACTGAGCGTGTACACTGGAGGGGGGAGAGGAAAGGCCACTGGTGTACAGGCGAGGTGGCTCCACTCACACACTCTGTTTAGGCAACCAAGATTGGCCAGATGGCTGCGGGGGGAGGCAGAACTTAATAAAGTTCTCTGCTACACTGCTTACCCCTGGGATTGGAGATCTTCCTCGGAGCACAGAACAAAGATTTGAAGGTCCTTGCAGGTTGCATAGTTGTTAAGGCAGAATAAAGTCTCCAGTGTGTGTGTGTGTGTGTATTTATGTCTCTACCACCTCCCATATCTCTGTATATTGTGTTCAGTAAGATGTCCATTTAATAGTTTTTTTAAACTTCCCGCTAAAACCACCAATTGTGGAAGGGAGATCCACATCATTACCATTCTATCAGTAAATAACCCCCTACGCAGTTTAGGATTCAACTGATTGTTCAGCTTCACTGAGTGGCTGCTTGCCTTCTTAACCCCTTTGCGCCGGCCGCACACAAATGTGTGCGCCGAGCGGCCGCACATTTGCGTCCATGTAACTAAATACATATGTGCTGAGAGCGCGCGCCCTGCGCGCTCCCAGCACACATGTGTGGGTACTCACGGAAAGGTCCCGGTCCGCTCTTTCGAACGGGACCTTTCCCGATCATGTGACCGCCGTGACGCGTCATCACGGCGGTCACATGAATCCTAAACCACGCCCCAACCGCCCCGCTTCCCGCCGTCTGAATCTCTTAAAGGGCCGGGAGGCGTCGGTGGGAAGGGGTTAATCTCCCTGAGACTGAAAAGTTTCCTCCCTAGGCTAGAATCACCATTGAGGTATTTGTATATCGCTGTCATATCTCCCCTTAAAGTGTTAGTAAACCCTGGACACTCAATCACTATATCCGCTCTCCCCGGACCCCGCATTCACTATATCCGCTCTCCCCGGACCCCGCATTCACTATATATCCGCTATCCGCTATCCCCGGAGACCCCGCATTCACTATATTATCGCTCTCCCCGGAGGACCCCGCATTCACTATATATCCATTCTCCCTGACCCCGCATTCACTATATCCGTTCTCCCAGCACCCTGCATTCACTATATTCGCTCTCCCGGACCCTGCATTCACTATATCCGCTCTCCCCGGACCCCGCATTCACTATATCTGCTCTCCCCCCCGCTCACTATATCTGCTCTCCCCGGACCCCACATTCACTATATCTGCTCTCCCCGGACCCTGCATTCACTATATCCGCTCTCCCTGGACCATGCATTCACTATATCTGTTCTCCCCGGACCCCGCATTAACTATATCCGCTCTCCCCGGACCCCGCATTCACTATATCCGTTCTCCCCCGGACCCTGCATTCACTATATTCGCTCTCTCCAGACCCCGCATTCACTATATTCGCTCTCTCCAGACCCCGCATTCACTATATCCGCTCTCCCCAGACCCCGCATTCACTATATCTGCTCTCCCCGGACCCCGCATTCACTATATCCGCTCTCTCCAACCCCACATTCACTATATCTGGTCTCCCCGGACCCCGCATTCACTATATCTGCTCTCCCCGGGCTCCGCATTCACTATATCTGCTCTCCCCAGACCCCGCATTCACTATATCTGCTCTCCCCGGACCCCGCATTCATTATATCCGCTCTCCCCGGACCCTGCATTCACTATATCCGCTCTCCCCAGACCCCGCATTCACTATATCTGCTCTCCCCGGACCCCGCATTCACTATATCCTCACCGCTCTCCCCGGACCCCGCATTCACTATATCCGGTCTCCCCAGACCCCGCATTCACTATATCCGCTCTCCCCGGACCCCGCATTCACTATATCCGCTCTCCCCGGACCCCGCATTCACTATATCCGCTCTCCCCGGACCCCGCATTCACTATATCCGCTCTCCCCGGACCCCACATTCACTATATCCGCTCTCCCCGGACCCCGCATTCACTATATCCGCTCTCCCCTGACCCCGCATTCACTATATCCACTCTCCCCCCGCACAATATCCGTCCTCCCACAGTACACACAACATGGAAATTGTACGCCCCTTGAGGGTCAGGGACTGATGTGATTGTACAATATATGTATAAAGTGCTGCGTAAATTGATGGCGCTATATAAGTACCTGTAATAAATAATGGAAATGAATGTTCTACTTTTTTTTTCTGCACCGGAACGCACTGGAACTGCAAGCACTATGACATTGACATCCATATAACCTACTTTCTGTGCCTCTTTGGATGCAGAAAAAAAGAAACTAAAACACATGGAGTGTGAACTGGCCCCAAGGGGCCACACATCAATGCCTGCAGTTCCTGTGCATTCTGGCTGCAGAGAAAAAAAGTAGAACAGGCAGCATTTTTCTTGCACAGAAATGTACTGGAATGCAGTAAAATGCATACAAAATGCACCGGAATGCAGCAAAACACACCAAAAAATGCACCGGAACGCACATGTCCCTATTTACATTGAAGAAAAAAGAAAATTTTTATTTTTTAAATTTTTTATTACATTTCCACATTTATAAAATCATAGGGCGGCATTCAGTGCACTGAATATTACTGCAGCTGCAGCATTTCATTTCTGGTCTCATGCTGGCAGTCCATTCATTTGGAATTTTATGGCTTATATAAAAACATTCATTGGATGGATGTCCAGCACATTTGCGCAGGCTGCATGAATATTGGCTGTAAATTCTCAGAGTAATCCCTATGGTCGCTGTCCCTATCTAGTGGCCACCATGCGGCATATATTTTCTCATTGAGGTATTTCAGAAAGTGATACTGAATTCTGGCCACTAGATAGCGCTGAAGATCATAGGAATTCATCTATTAAAATAATGATGGCCGGAATTCGCGCAGCGCGCACACAAACGTGAGGGACATTCGTTGAACAAATGTATAATTGGACGCATTCGTGTGACGCAGATAACAAGAAAAATAAATACTGAATGATAATGCACCACAATGGACTGAAAAGGTCTTAAAGGACCCTTAGGATTTTCACTTACATTAATTAAGAGGCTATTTACCTGTCATCTTGTCACAGTTCTGAAGAAAAGCTTTCACGTCCTCCTGTTCATGTGGTGAAAGTTTGTATTTAGCGCTAATTAAAAAAAAAAGAAAAAAAAAAAATCAAAAAGAAAAAACAGAAAATATAACACTGGCTCTACAGAGGTGACATGGTTGGAACTTTTCATTGCGAGTTTCATTTTTTTGGCTACTGAGCGTGTTCATACTTTAACCCCTCGCCCTCCAGAGGATTTACCCCCCCCCCTTAACCAGGCCATTTTTTGTGACACGTCAAGCAACGCTGCACGCAAATGAAATTTACGTCCTTTTTTCTTTCTTTCGGTGGTATTGGATCATCTCTGTGGTTAGCACTTCCGCCTGACAGTACTCGGGTCGTTGGTTCAAATCCCAACCATGGCACCACCTGCGTGGAGTTTGCATGTTCTCCCTGTGCCTGCGTGGGTTTCCTCTGGGTACTCCGGTTTCCTCCTACACTCCAAAGACATGTTGGTAGGTGAATTGGCTCCTGTCTAAATTGGCCCTAGTATGTGTATGTATGAATGTGAGTTACGGAAAGAACAAATTGGCACTAGGAGGGGACCACACATGTAAAAATCAAAATTAGGTTAATGACAAAATGCAGATAAGGAAGAGCAAATAAAAGTATATAGAAAAATACAATGATAAAAAAATGTATAGTGATAAGGCGAAAAAGGGACAAACAAGACATAAAAGTCAATAGTCAAGGGGTCCTAGGTAGAGGATGATGGGCGAGGGCAGCTCCTCATAGAGCGAAGCAGTATTATGCAGAAGATAAATCGGACAGAAGGGGGCACCAATCTCAGTGTAGAGGCCTAATAATTTATTGGTAAGAAGTAAGAAGTAATGAGGCGTGGTAAAAGAATTCCTTTGGTAAGCCGTCAGTCTGGTGACCTCAGAGGTCTGAAGAAGAAGCAAGTGCTTCGAAACGCATCACCTTGCCTTGTTCCTGCGTTGCCATTGGTCGCTCGCTGGGGTCCTGACTTCCTCGCAGTCCACACTGGTTTTGGCACCATTTTCAGAACTCTCTGCACTGCTGACGGCTGCATCTCTGCTCATCCTGTATGACGAGGACCAATTTACACATCGCTGGCAGACTGACGGCTTACCAAAGGAATTCTTTTACCATGTCTCATTACTTCTTACGTTTGTGAGTAGCTTTTACCAATAAATTATTAACCATCTACACCAGCGGTTCTCAACCTGTGGGTCACGACCCCTATGGGGACACACATGTTTCCGATGGTCTTAGGAACCGAGACACCGCTCCTCTCCAGGCGGGTCCGTCCACATGCAGATACGCCCACATACGAGGCGTGATGACATCATCGCGCCAACCCCATCACATATACCCTGTACAAATACAGGTGTATGTGACAGGGTTGCCATAATGTACTTATGTGCCATAATGTGTAAAGAGCAGCTACTGTGTAGAAAGCAGCTGCTGTGTTGAAAGCAGCAGTATTGGAGGTAAAACGACACTTCATGAATTCTAATTACTGGATAAATGTAAAATCATGTCCTGTAAATATATAATTACATATTGTTTTTGTGATTAATCACTATGCTTTAATAATGTTCAATTTGTAACAATGAAAATACATCCTGCATATCAGATATTTACATTACGATTCATAATAGTAGCAAAATTACAGTTATGAAGCAGCAACGAAAATAATTTTATGGTTGGGGGGTCACCACAACATGAGGAACTGTATTAACCTCCCTGGCGGTATGATTCTTTCCGATTTTTGGTGCTGAAAGCGGTACCATTTTTTTGCATGGAAATATGTATTTTTTTTATTTTAGGCTGTAATTCTTAGGAATAACTCACTGAAATCTGTCCGGACAAGAGTCTAGTAAACATCCCGGGTAGGATGAAATTTGAAACAGGAAATCATAAATTATAATTTAATAAATAATCATAAAAAATAATAATAGAATAATAATACATTTAATTCAATAATATAATCAAACCAAAAACACCGAAATGTGAAATATAGCGCCAAGTTCGCACATCGCTGAGCTCAGTCGCAGAATCGTTTTCAGTGTCTGATGAGGAATTTCCCCCACGAATCATTATCACTCAATTCTGCAAGTGGTTCTGATTTACTATCACTGTTCTCTAGCCGCTCTAAAACCGCGTCTGACCTAAAGGGACGCTTTTTGGACGCCATGGACGTTTCTCAGTTTCCAGGCAGAAAGAACAGACAAAATGCAGGCAGGGCGCAGGACAAAGCACTAGGGACAAAATGTATGTGAAATTGGTTGAGACAGCAATGTTTTACTATGTAAAATGTAAAAAAAAAAAAAAGACATTTTTTAAAATTTTTAAATTTCCCGCCGCCAGCGGCGCCCGTACGTCCCGACGTCACAGGGACAGGACACAGAAGCCGGATGCCGGCATCGGCCGGAGGAGATGGCCGGGGACGCTGCAGGGGACACATCGCAGGAGCGCAGGGTAAGGTAAGTGAAGAACAAATGCCGGAGCAGTGCCGCAGGGTATTCCCGAGTGTAGCTCGGGGTTACCGTTTGTGGTACTGAAATGTTACCCCGAGCTACACTCGGGAATACCGCCAAGGAGGTTAAAGGGTCGCGGCATTAGGAAGGTAGAGAACCACTGATCTACACTGAGATTGGTGCCCCTTTCTGTCCAATGAATGTAAGTTAGGGACCTTAGATTGTACGCCCCCCTTGAGGGTTAGGGGACTGATGTGAATGTACAATATATATGTAAAGTGCTGCGCATATTGATGGCGCTATATAAGTACCTGAAATTAAAAATAAATAAATGTGGACGTATGTTCAGTCAGGACAGATGCAATGACAATCTAACAGAAACCAAATCAGTTTTATTGGGAGTGAGGATCTATATGTTATGACCACAGCTCGCTAACCTAAGGGGTCCTCTAAGGGCCAACATTCATTCTGTCTTCTACATTCTGTTCTATTTTGGCTAAACGGCCCCAATAACGCGTCTCACCTGTAAACAAATATGGGAACAAGGAAGTCAGTGGTAATGTTGTCCGGTTTATATTCTATCAGGGCTGACACCGCTTCCTTAAAGTTCTCTTTCCACTCCACAGGCTGATCCAAAGAATAAAAATTTCCTGGAAAGAAAAGAAGAGGACAAGAACTTGCAATCAGTTGACCCACTTCGACAAAGATACTGGAGAATGTGGCGTACGCGGTATCAGACCACTGCCCTTTAGACCAACTCGTGAGTCGTGACAAATGACTGGTTGATCTCAAACCTCGCTGTCACTAATACGTCACAATGCCATTCTCCGCCTCACCCTGCACAAAGGTTCTCCAGCTTGTGGGACCACAATCTAGGTGCCATCAGCCCGAGAGAGCAATTGTCCCTGGGTTAACCACTTGACCTTCGGAAGATTTTTCCCCCTTTATGACCAGGACTGTGTTTGTGATATGTCACTGCATTATTTTAACTGACAATTGCAATGCCATACATACTCTCACCGGTCACTTTATTACAGTGATGGAGCGCCTGTCACCCCGATTGGGTGACTCCATCAGAGAACTGCTTCCTCACCACTGGGACACAGGTCATATTGGTTTATTAATTTATTTTGGATTGTTCTTTGGTGGTGGTGGGTTGTGGTAACAGCAAGAAATTTACAGCTCCATTAAAAAAAAAAAAATGTTCACTATTTTGGGCCAGTTTTCCCTTTATGATATAAAAAAAATTCAGGAGATATCTGTTACCAGTTAGATGTGTATCCTCCTTATACCCTCAAAAAGTTAATACTTTCCACCCTAGAAAGTGTTAGATATATATAAAAGCCTTTTTGTGATATGATAAATTCCCAAATTAAATTCAAAATCCTAAATACATCGCAAATAATAT